CGGGCAGGAGTTTGGGAGGAAAAGGGAGGGATTTTATTTCCCCTGGAGTTTGAAAGGAGGAAGTGAGGAATGCTAGGAATGAGAGTTGGTATGAAATGAACGCGGCCGAGGGAGGGAGGGGACTGCCGGCTAGCGCAGGGGCTGGGACGGGGCTGGGAGGGGACTGCCGGAGGGCGGGGGGCAGCGAGAGAAGGGCCGAGGCGGAGTTGGGAACAAAACCCAGCGGGGCTGGGCAGTCCCGGCCGGGGGCTGTGTGTGACCGGGGCGGAGGGAACGCCGGTAATGGCCGGAAGAGGGGCCCGCGGGGGAGGGGGAAGGAAACTCCGGGAGCAGGGGAAGGGGGCGGCTCGGGAGCTCAGGGAGCGGGCGGGACGCGGGCGCGGCGCCCGGCCGCGGGAGAAGTTGGAGTCTGCGGCCGCGAAGGGCCGACCTCAGCGGGGGGAAGATCCCTGGGAACGCCGCCGCTTGCCTGGTGCTTTCTCCAGGGCGGGACTCTGGCGATGGGCCGAGCGCCCAGTGAGGGGGCTCCGGTGCCGGGGACACTCCCGCCCGCCCGGGCAGGACACGGCTTCCCTGGGTAATCCCTGCGAACCGGTACCGGCTCGCCGGCAGCGCTGCTTCCAAGCCCCTTAGAGACGTGCCGTGATTTCCATCCAGCATAGCTGAGCCCCTGCGAAACGAACAACTCAACCCCAGCACGGCAGAGTGGTTATCCCAGGCGGCAAACTACTCGCCTAACAGCAAAGCGATGTCCCCTGTGGGTTTTCTCAGTCTCACGTCGAAGCTGCTCTTTTCCTGTCCGTTCATACAGGAGTGCCAGCGTGCTGCGCTAGAAAATGCTGATACCAGGCTGAGCAAGTTTAGTAAATGTAACTACATCCTAGTAGCACCTCTGGGAACGCAGCTACATCAGCAAAATAAATTTTTCCATGGCTCTAGCAGGTAACTTTTTCAGAGATGCCTGGTGTGCATGTAACTACCTGCGAAGAGTTATAACATAGTTGGCTTTCTTTAAAACTTCGGTATATTGCAGAAATGGATTTTAAAAAATCTCAGTTTTTGGTAAGAACCTAAAGCTAAAAATGTTCTTCACTCTTTCAAGTTGCAGAGAAAAGACTGAAATCAGGTCCTAAATGTGGCCTAAGACCTCAGAAACCAAGTGGCAAACCCCATCAATTTCATAAAAATAAGGTTTTCTGATACAACTGAGAGTACATACAATATAAATAAGATGATGTTACAAAATTCAATGAAATTGTTTTGTGTGGGTTTTGTTTGTTGTATAAAGCCCTGTAATGATTCAGCCACTACTTCTACCATGGCCTATTTAAAAACATGCAGTTTAATAAAAAACATATATGAAAGGTAGTTCACTTCTCATCACATATATTCACTGCGAACTCTAGGCTAGGTCTCATAATTATGTGACTAACATATTGTTTTGCTCCCATTTCCTTGCCAAATCAACACAGCTCAAAGAGAAGGAATTGAAACCTATTCCTTCCTGTGAATCATCACACAGATTGTTTGCAGGACTCCAGTCAATTGCAGATGGAAATTCACTCAGGAGAATGCAAATTTTCAGTGGTGGGTTGTTTTTCTTTTTTCCTTTACTGGAGGTAATGTGGAAGCAAACTATTCCACTTAGAACAGAAAGCAGAGAGCTGGGCAAACTTAAGAGACTTAATTCCCCAAACCTACCTGTATTCTATCTGAATAATTTTGTTATGCAGTTTATAAAATAAAGCCTTTTTTTCCACAGTAAATTAGTATTACTTTCCCTTTAATAAAGGGCTCAATTCGATTAAACATTAAAAAAAAAAATCCTTTGCTTTCTTCATAATTTTCAGCTGTTTTGTTCCAGACAATGCAATGGTTCGCCTTCTTTGGAAATGTCGATTGAATCAAAGTAAATGATCACCAATTCCAGCCTCTGGAATACATCCACCCATTTATGTAGTCTCTAAACTGAACTTTAAATTACCAGAGCAGGTTATAGTTACCATAGCCTTTACCTTAATGCATTCTGGTCAAGTTAGTTTGCTTCTGGTTTTTTTTCTCCCGTTTTGGGACAAAAGAAGTGAATTCCAGCTTCCAGTGAGAAATTAATAATTCTATATAGAACACATTAAGGGATGGAATGAGAAGACAGAAACTCTATAGACTGTACAGTTCAAGAGATACAAGAGTTAACAGTGGTGCAGGGTCTCCGCCTTCTTTCCTGGCAGGGCTTTCAGCCCCAGGATAACTTAAGGGTCTTTCTTAGTTCTGAACTAGTTCCAAACTGCAGTTATGTACAACAGTTTGACACTGTGGCAGAGAAGATGAGATTCCTGACTCTGCCAAAGAAGGAATCTGTCCATAGGTCCGTTTCACAAGACTACACACAAACTCTTAGCTCAACTTGTAAATCACAGGGAAGGTTTTGCTTGTCTTCTGTACCAGGAACAGGAAACCTAATTCAATGTCAACTGAGAGATTTAGAGAGCTGTTAATACCAGAGAGTAGAGGAGCACACTAAGTATAATATAATAACTTTGCCAACAGTAACAAACCCCTATCCTGTTGCTACCAAATTCAGCAGCAGGACTTCAATGAGAATGAGACACCCCTAAAAGAGCAAGAAATCATTCCGTGTCTTTTATGTTTCTGAACCAAAGAGCCTATAGCAGCCTAGGAGCTGTTTCCATCCACTAGGCCTGCCTTTAGGATTCATATTGAGCAGTTTAATATGCTTCCATCTTTATTTTAAGATCTCTCTGGGATTTCAAGAATGTTGCATTCACACGTATGCAACTAATATTACTGCTTTAAGAACAAATGCCCAGTAGTATTTCCTGCTTAGTTTCTCTCCCAACTAAGACTAATTTGGGTCAGATCAAAATGATGGGAAAAACAGAGGTGCAGAAAGAATAGGACTTACACATTGAGAGCTGTGCCAGTTTCTGATTATCAGATCCACCATATCTCCACTTACTGAGGTTTATACATATCTCAGTGGAAATAGGAAAAAATAACTGCTTTGACTTGACGTTCTTCCATCCCTTGTATTACTTCAGTTCTTGTTTCAGAAAAAATCTTATTGTACTTCAACGCTTCAATGGGTTCAGATGGAAGGTAGGAAAATGCATTAAGAACCATCTCAAATGCTTTAACTGGACACTGGGAAAAACATTAAAAACATGGGGCAGAGAAGTGGAACTAGCTTAGAGAGAGAATCAAATGGAAACCAGGAACTTTAGGGGAAGACCTGGTAACAGGGGAGGGAAGTATTAGAGAGACTAACCTTACATTTATTCCCAGACTTCTAAGTGTATGGAAAAAAAAACAAACACCACAAAGAAAGAGAACTGAGAATTACAAAGGAAAAGAGAGAGTAAGAAGAGAGATGAGATTCAAGAAGATGGGAAGAAACTGAGGTAGTATCTCATACAGAAGGAACAAAGAACACCCACAAGTGACAGCAAAATCCTACAAAAAATAAAATATATTAAAAAAAAACAACCAACCCCCCAAAAACTCATTTAGAATTAAGGATTTTTCAATATATAAATTAGTTTATTTTCATTTAGATATAAAAGTTATAAATACAATTAATGTAAAACAGTATCTGATAAAGAGCACTGAATCTGTTCATCTGTCTATATAATTTGACTGAGAGGCTCTGACAGGATCATTGATGTCAACAAATAGCTTGAAGAGCCACTTCTGACAGGCCTAATTGAGTAAAGGGATGTTACTGTGGCCTTCTCAGCACACAGAAAATCATCTTGAATTGGAAATTAGCATTCTACCTTCAGGTCATCCCAAAATAACATAAGGCAGTTTCCTTCACACATTCCTAGTCAGAAAAATAATCAGACAGGTACACAAATGGACATCATTTTTCTGGATGTGTAGCAGGAATGCAGAACCGAACCATCAGCCGAGACCTCAGAAGAGCACAACTGGAAAGCACTGCCAGGTCTGGTCCCCAGCCTGATGAGCAGGAAGTACATAAAGGCACAAAAGAGATCCATCAGGATTCAAGTTCTCTTCACTGACTGCTTTTCTGATGAGATCATCTCAAGACAATGGCTCACCAGCTAATGCAGAATGGTCATCTGAGAGATACCTGAGATGGACCTCTCAGCATCAATTCATAATTTACAGTTAAATACAGAGTTTACACATGATTACCATAATTATTTTTTCTGGCAATATCAGAAAACGTCTCCACAAAATTTTGTTAATTTGAAAGAGTGAGTGATATTCACCACTGCAAAGACTCCAGAGACCAAAAGCAATATATCTGCTCTTTGGAGCTTAAAACAGAGTTAGTATGCTGACAAGGACAATACTCAAAGCTGGAGAACAACTAATTCTTGTCTCAATAGAAAGATAGTCTTTTCCAGGACCATCATGAATATGTGTAATGGCCGTGAAACAGGCAAGATAGCATTGTTCCAAGATGGGACTGTTGCAAGATTGTTCTCTGCTTCAGTAGACAGCAGGTGTGTACACTATGAGGCGTCCATGTCACACTGTGCAGCAATCCACTCTGATAAGGCCATATGAATCAAGAGGTGTTCCGTGCTGTGACCTACAGACTCCATAGTGTACATCCAGTATTAAAAATGCAACACTCGAAGGACACATTGCAAAGCCTCATGATACAATTCCTTTAAACTTACTGATGCCTTTGAAAATACTTGTAATCTCTTTTTGAGGTAACTCCTTCTTATAGTCAGGTTAAAATTATTTATACAAAATCTACTTTAATATGTCATGACTTGAGATAATCTCATATTAAAAAAATGAAATTGGTCACAAACCCATTCCTAGAAATGTAGCAAATTTGAAACAATGGACAATTCAATCACAACACTGCTTTTCAGGAACAGTACTGCATATTATTACAGTACTACCTTCTGTCAAATTCAGGGAGATTCTATCATCTATTCAGTCTCATTTTAACAGAAGCAGCAATGAATACAATACCACCATCTGAAAAGGCAGTGTTTGAGATTCGATTGTTCTTTATTTGGTAAAAAGACTGTCAAGGGACATAGAGCAATTAGAATACTGAAAGGGAAATAGATTACCAGCCTTAACAGAGAATCATCTCACAGAGTAAAAGTGTTGTATTAGAGCCAATGTCTTATTCCAGCTGTTCTGTTTTTTCAGAATTCATCTGATCAGAAACTCATGAGTAGCATCATCTTCCAGGTATCTTCTTAAGGAAGTTTCAAGGGACAGGAACACTTAGCCATTATTTTTCTATCCTGGATGCAAGGAGTTCCAATTAGTGGGCTTAGCCCATTGTCATGCAGCATCTGTAAACAAAGATTCTGAAAGCAGAATCAACACCAATGACAAAATCATCACCTATATTTCTTGTTCTTCCACAGTACATACAGAGACTGCTCCCAAGACGGTCTACTGCCAACACTTACAACGCTCTGAGGGCTGGAATGTGCTTTCTAATAAGCCTGTAGAAGTCTGTCCTCCATTTCCCTTCCAAAATGCTCTTCATTACTACACCTGGAACTCCTACAAGATGCAAGCATGCAAGTGAGTTCCATGTTTCAAGTCTGTTGTCTCATTCACAGACCAATTTACTGTCAAAGCTGGAGAGTCCAATAGCAAAGGCCTGAAGAGCACAGAGGGGATAATTATAGTCCAGAGTGAACACATCTTCTGCTACACGACCAAACTGCATCACAATATAGTCAGCTGGGGAGAAAAGAGATTCAGAGATGAACAACTTCACAGTGAAGTGAAAAGAAAAAAAAACAAAAATCAAATAAACAAAAAACTCCAAACCAAAATAAAAAAAAGAAAAACCAACCAAACACAAACAACCCAAAAAACCCCCACAAACCAAAAAACCCAACCACAAACAAAAACCCACTCGTCTGGCAGTCCCAAATATATTTGGTTGGTGTTTCCGTCCTTTCCCACCAGAGTGGCCTTGAAATCTGTTCTCTAGAGTTAGTGTGCTGTTCTAGAGATTACTTTTCTTCTCAAATCCAAAGCTCAAACCACTCTTTTGCTAGGCTGAAAATGCTATATTAATCCTTTTCCTTCTCTTCAGGAAGTTTGCATTCGCACCCTCTTTTGCAGCAGCAATGGAGAGCAGTGTCTGCACCTACCCCAGAAAGAAGGAGGCCTTACATAATTTTCTTGACAGCTCGGAAGTCCCCAGTAATCCTGAGCTAAATTCCTTCACCCAGTTTTCCTTCTCCAGGAGGGGTGTCCTATTCCTCCCAACCCTCATGAAATGAATTGGGTTCTCCCTGTTCAAATAAGTCCCACACACTCTCCGTCAGATTCTTACGGTCATTGTCATGGACAATCTGAAAGTTCTTCACTGAGGCCTGAGTGACTCTCCCATGGAAGTTCAAAACATAGGACTGAGTATCATCATTCCAGACTGGAGCCTTGTTGTGCAACTCAATGAGGTTCTCCAAATTTTTGTTTTGCCATTTTGACAGCAGACCCTCATGTTCCTGTTCAGAAGAAAGAAATATATTTCTCAGATTTGGAATTGCTCTGCTTTTGAGTATTGCCTCTCGTGTATGCACTCTGTCACTTGAAGGCCATTCCCTGTTTAATGAAACACAGTGACAGCACTTAAACTCAGTCCTCATGAAAATTTCCTGTAAGAACCAGGAAGATACTTTCACAGATTCCCAGTCCAAGCATTTTTTCCACTCAATAGGCTATCACTGTATTTCCATTCCAAAAAAGTAAAAAGAATGAGAGAGAAGGAAATGTGTGTGTACAGGAAAGGGAGCAATTCACAGGTCACAGATGACTGCCATCCTGCTGACAGGAATCCCTTCTGAGTCTCATAAGCTTTCTCTGATCCTGTTGCATCCAGCTTACATTTCTAACATTCTGAACTTTAAAATAAAATAATCCACAACTAACTGCATAGTGCCAGGCCCTGAGGTGATTCAGTACAAAATCCAAAGGCTGCAGCAGGTTGTAAGGTTAAATCTCATCCTATTGGATCTAACAAGTGATGCACAATATGAAAACCAGAGATAAACAAAACAAGGAAGATACAAAAAGGAAATAAACAGTCCATATAAATTTGACAAACAATGAATTACAAAGAGGTTCAAGTTGTAGTGAAACATGACGCATAATTTTCTAAGTTCTGCAACACATAAAATCCAAACTGAAATAATATATACTAAGAGAAAAAATCCAAGCTGAAATTACTAACAGGAAAAAATGCTCAGAAAACAACCTGTTACTTAGGTCTGACTGATAGGGCTAGTATTATAGACAGATTCAATAATGGATTTTTGAGGATAATCTAAATGAAACTTACTGTTCAGTTTAGTTACTTTATATCTTTGAATTTATCTTTATTTACTGTTTAAAGATGCAAAAATGACTACTGACACCAACACAGTGCATTTAGGCACAAGTTTTCCTCCTTTGAAGTGGGGGCAGTATTTCTTAGTGGCATCACATTACAGAAAAGGAAGGATAAAAACAGAGTCAAACCTCTACACTGAAAGCTTTGCCAACTTTCCAGAACAGCTTTGTGTTTCAGTCTTGTCCACTGTCAGTATGCTTGTCTGATAGCAAAACAGTTGGGAAAATACAGGAGAAAAATAAAGGCAGGGCGATGGAATCATTACTGTACTGATGGGGGAGATGACAATACCAATTGAAAGACAATGAATAAATGTCCACAAACAGACACAACTTTCCTGCCCATTTGCAAAATTAAATCTCTTTTCCAGGCTCTCATGAGTCTGAATTTCCATTCTTGAAGATTTTTTATTCTGATATCAAGAAATTCATTCTTCTCCTACTCATATCTACTCACAACATGGATACAAAACCCATTCTCTAGCCTAAAATATTGGCCATGTCTTAGCACATGTTCTTTCTGCCTTTTGTTCTTCTATCACACCAAGCATAAAACCCACATTAAGGGAACCAAATGTTTTTTATCATACACCTTAATATATCTTCAAATACAGTTCTGTAAGCTTTTAGCTATAATGTCCTGCACATGTATGAGAAATACCCACTAAATAGTCATGACAAAACTTCATCTGTCTCATCCGTCTTTCTTCTTAAAGAATCCTCGTTTTCTGTGACTCCTACAAAGAAGCTGACAGCATTCTGATCAAAAATGTATTTACTCTCTTGCTATTACACCAGCCTACCACCGTATCTATCTATTAACTATCTGTTGCAATTCATATCCTGGCCGAGAATGCAAGCTCCTGGGAGAAGCAAGTGTGCCCTGTGTTCATCCAACTCTCAGCATAACAGGGTCCCACCATGAGGACGGCTTGTAAGTGCCAGAGCAACAACATACAGATAAGTAAATAATATTTAGGCTGACCAAAGGACACGTAAGGATACAAACACTATTCAGAAGGATACAGATTAGGTAAAAGGCAAGAATGAATTAATCAACACATTTAGGCTACATTGTATTTACTCTCCATGAGACTTACTAAACCCCAGGCTACTAACAACCTTGCTCTAAACCCTGATTATTAGTAACACTTCTACAGGGAAGTTTTAACCTCTTCCTCCAACCTGAAACATGACCAAACTCCATAACTCACATTTCGTGGACGGATTGGAATTCGCTTATGATTCATATTCATTCCTGGAATGATCACAGACATTTTTCTGGGACCCTTGAATCCTAAGATGTTGGTTTCCTGAAAGACAAGGAAAGACGTTATTTTCAGTAAATTATATACTCCATCTCAAAGAAGTAAAGACAGCAAAACTGAACTTGTGTCCACATTTTTACTAGTTTTTAGAGTTTTGCTGGCTACAACTGTAGTAGCAGTTAAATAACTCCAACTGTGTTTAATCACTGAGAACTGCTTTCTCTCCCATTTAGAGAACACCATTATAAGACATATATGGTATTAACTAATTTAGAGCGATCTGTTATCCCACTGACACATTTATAACAAAATCAGACAAGTGCAATTTCCAGGCATAAGTTTTTGCATGTGAGGCAATAATGTGCTGAAATCTTGCTAGTTAACAAGCCATAAGTATGATAAAAGGCAAATATCTTTGACCTGAGTTTATGTTATCTCTATATTACCAGTTAGTCTAAAATGTTCCTGAACAATAAACCAACATTCTTCTTCTGTGCTGTTATTTGTGTTCAAGAGAATGCCTACAATTTTCTCTCAAATCATGCTGTTTTGTAAATGATTAAGAACAGACCCAGAAAGGGAAATATTCAGCATCTATCCAAACTTCAAGTCAAGCAGATTTTTCCAGAGTACTGCAGGAGACTGCTCCAAGTACAAAAAGCAAAGAAAAAAAGACCTGGTATTCTCAAATCATACACTTAATAATGTCAGTCAAAATCCAATGGTCCATTTAAAGTGTTCAGTAACAATATCAGTGCTAACCTTTAAAATTCCCAAAGACCAATTAAAAAGCCAGAGTCTTTCAGAAGTACCAAACTGATTGATAGAAGTGATACAGCTTCTTCTAACACGTTAGTGCATTTTGCAGACACAGACAAAGGTCTCTGGATTGCACCCTCTATTATTTCACTTCAGAAAATCTAAGGGTACATATAAGAATGAGGGTATTGATTTGATTCATATATAAACTTTACAAACTTTTTGCAAATAAGTTCAAAGTTTTGAAAAGCTGACTTAATATTAACTGCTGTGCTCATTTTAACACCTTGCTACATTCAGCTAGGTAGGTGATATGGTTTGAAGCTGGCTCCCTGCCAAGTCTCCAAACCTTACCACCAGAAGTCCCCCCCCCCCAACAAAAAAAAACCTCAGGGAGAAGAGGGAGAAAAAACTAAGAAAAACCCGAAAACGAGAGAGAGGACAACCAAACTGATATATATAAATATATTTACACTTATATACAATTTCACAAGGGAAAGGGAAAGGGGAAGGGGAAAAGGAACAAAACTAAAATAAAATATATATATATATATATATATCCCAATCAGTAGCCCGAGATCTAGTAACTAAAGAACAAAAGAGTTAGCAAAGAAGATATCTCACTACTCTCCTGGGACAACCGAGAGTCGCTCCGGAACGATCGCCGGCAACCTCTGTCTCCCAAGGTCGGCAAGGCCTAGCCAGGCCTCGCTCCCCAACACGGCAGACTCAACAGCAGGGAACCTGCACCTCCAAGCCGCCGGAAGGAAAGAGAGCGAAGGCCTCTCCTCCTCTCTTCTTATAGTCTGGCTTACGTAAAAATCGTAGGGAATACTGGGTAAATCTGGACCCTTCCTTGGTTACAAACTGGTCACCAAGGAAGGCCTAGCCCAAACCACCACAGTAGGGAATTGAAGAATACCGTATACAAAGAAAATATCCAGTAATATTTCCGTAAACAGGACAATACTGCAATTATCACAGCAATTCTTTTCCCCCTAAGTGTCATTGAGATCAACAGCAAAAACAAAAAATCAAGATGATTCTCCAGTAGGCTAATGCATCTTTAAATTTCTGCTGCCATACCAGGGAGGAAAGTAAAAATCCTTCCACTTGGCAGCCATCATTTTGTAGAGAACCTCAAATTCTACTCAAACTGTAGGCCTGGAACATGAAACAATGTAACATGAGAACCCTCACATAATTCTAGAGTGTCCTCAAGTGTCTCCTCACTCTGAAGCCTTGCCTGAGGTGATTCACAAATTGAGAAGAAAATATCTCTAGGACAGAGTTAACAAACTATGATTTCCCTAGAACCACATCCTTATCAACAACAAGCTGCTACAGAAGTAATACCAGCTCTCTCCTATCCTCAAGTGCCTTTGGTTCTTCAAAAAATAATTCTACTTCACAGGGTACTCCCAGTTCCTTCTCAGTGTCCACCAGATACCAGCTGGGCAAGGGGCAGTTCATGCTGTGGCTGGCTCCATGTAAATGATACGCTGGCTGGCCACACACTGAACAACAGGCCAGGTAAGAAGGTCATCAGGATGTTAGTTTGGGTCTTTCTCCCTCCCAGATTTCTGGCACTGATTTTTTTTTTTTCATTAAACTCTTAAGAACTTATCTTTGAGGCCTCTGCCCTTTGTTGTATCTGGTTGAAATTGGTCGCTTGCTTCCAAAGTTAAGTGGGGGAGGCTGACAGAAGCACGATTTGGTAAGCCCCATTTCCTCGGTAACAGGCACAAAGAAGAAAGGGGCAAAAACAGAAAGGCAGTACTTACATAACAAATAGCTGCAAGTTCCTGTCTTGTATGAGCCTTTTCCACTAGACTTTGTGCCTTGATTGGGTTAACTCCATGGTCATAGACTGTAAATTTAGTTCCCATGAGGTTTGACCTAATGTCAGGTTATGGAAAAACAGAGAAAGAGGCATCAGTGGAAAGTTTTGTCTTCTGAAGGTATTGGTATAGCACAGCGAATGTATCTCCTGCCATCTGAATCTTCCTATTGCCAGCTCAGTAAGGAGCTTCCATGCAGTGCCCACAGTGAACTAAGCCTGTAACTTATCCTGGAAAAGCATCTAGACAGAATTTCTTCTCTGAATTGCCACAGTGAATGGTAATGCTGAAGAAGGCTGCCAACCCAAGTGAATACAGATTACATTCAGCAGAACGATGTGCGCTCATTCCCTCTGAATCGATACCAGACTGTCAGTCAAAACCACAACACAAATAAAGTGAAAATCCTATCTCGCCTGTCTATAGTTTTCATCAGTGATCCTCACCTGAGTTTTCCAATGAAACTTTCCCCTTTCCGGGATAAATCAGTTGGGTCAACTGATATGAGATAATTCGATGTTTTGCTCTTCTTTCTTTTTCTCCCTGCAAGAAGGAATGTCTGGAAATACAAAATTTTAATCAAGATTGGTGCTTTGTAAGAATGCACAGGCATTGCTAGGCATTGCTACCCAAACTGTTATCTCTCCATTTGCCATATCCATTCCCCTTTTTGTTCCACGGCAATATTACTGTCTCCACAATTTTGATCTCTTCCAAAGTGCACACCCTGAAATCCTATTCCTCCAATCAGCTCACTCAGCAGTCTCGATTTAACAGAACTGCTCCTTTTCTTCTGGAGCAGCTCAGTCTTCTTGCTCCTTTTTTACCATTTAACATTTTTATACTTTTTAAATTTCATTTTTCATTGTATTATGGCCTTTAAACCTGCTAATTCCCTCTTAGTGCCCTGGCCAAATATAAGCCGTCCTCAACTGCATAATGACTTTCCTCAGCTACTGGTTTCTTACTAGAAGCTCTCCCTTGCACAAAAATATTATGTGGTAGGAGTATAACAGCCAAGAATGCATGCTGTTTCCAATACCTTTCTGTTGTCATCCCTTTCCAGATGCATGTAGTAAGTAGGGAAGAGGCCCCGGTCCATTCCCCTCTTATCTCTAGTGATTCGACACTTGACACTAATACCACGGGGTGCAGGGCGTAATGCAAAATCCTCCAAGTTCTCTACTTCTCCAAGCTGTGCATCTGCATGAGGGGATGGACTACAGGAAGCACCTGTTTCCTGTGGGAAGAAGCATCATATTAGCAAATTAATATCCGACTAGAGACTCTGGTATTCCCCAAGAAAATAAAAGTTTGTTGAAATACAAATTATCCTACCCAGAAGATACTGGGGAAAGGAAGGTTAAACAAGCTACCACCTGTGTTTCTCTGAAGAAAATGGCTGAAGACTTTTACTCTGAGAAAAGAACTAACCCTCCAAAGGGAATGGAGAAAAGTACCTGTTAACCAGACACGAGTGAATTTCTAGGAAGGGGAGGACAGGGTGAGATGCTGTAAATATTCTAAGCAAAGAGCCTCTCTGCTTTTAGAACTTCAGACTCTGGGAAATAACGCAGTACGATAAAGCTGGACTGATGGATGCTGCAGTAAGACAGGTTGGAATTTCTGTGACTGAAATGAGCACTGAGATTATGTTGGTTCAGAACAGTAGCAGAAATGGAGTAAGCTGCTGGTGGAACCATATCAACTAAATGTTGGAAGAGCCTTAGAACAATGTGTACAGTGAGGATGCAAGTCATGGTCACCAAAGGAATTGAAATTCTAATGAAAATCTGGTACAGGTCATTAAAGTAATTTTTTCTTTAGGTAGCTGGATCTTGAGAACTGTAGCACCCAAGAGATTCCTCCTTTACTGGGCCTTGGAGATGAAGTTGCAGCTTTATCCCTGTTCCCAGCTACAGCTGGAAGGAAGCCTGAGTCAATAAGCACAGACACATGCACACAGACTTGAAATTCACTAGTGGCTCTCACCCTCTCCCGCCTCCAGCACCCCCACCCTGTATTTCCAGCGGTTTACACCCACAGCCCAGTCCCCCAATTATCTGACACCTTGAACACTTGTACTACTCCCCCACTAGTGTAACACAGCAAATTCACAGTCACCTCATAAATATACTCAAAGAGGTCTTTCTAATAGTACCATGGACTTTCAAGGGTGTCCAGCATTCATGCCCAAACCCTATGGCCTTTATCTGGTCTGAGTTAGCTCAGACCCTGGGTCTTCCTCATGCTGGTCCCTTCCAACTCACTGGCTAGTACAGCATATAATTTGTCAACATATGTATGTATATATACCTCACACACACACGCAAGAAATAGCTAGAAATGGAATCTTAGAAGATAGTGGGACACACTGTCATAATCAGGCACAAGACTTGGGCAGACAAGCATATTGTCTTGCAGCTGTTTACATGCATCTGATGCCTTTTACACCCTTTAATCCCTGTTTTCCCATGCTTACTACTCCCTGATCCACCTTGACACCTCTCTTTTCCCTCTTAAATTCCTTTCCCTAAACACCCCATAAAAAGTTTGTCCAATCCTACCACTCTCTGTTCAGTCCCAAAATTCTGTTCTCCCTTGTATCCAACAATAAATGCTACAATCCTTCAGGAAATGATCCCTTTTAAGTTTGCATGGCATTTCAGAGCTTCTCTGAGTCATGTTGGTGGATTTTGCACCAGAGACAATGGCCCAATCTGTCTCCTTTGAGGGTCATAGTGCTGATTCACTGTGTTCCCATCTTCACTGATTAGAGCAGGATTTGGGATTCTCCACCCACTATTGTTCCTTTGATCACTGCTAGGTCTTTGTGTTTAACTCAATAGCCCTTCAGTCAGATAGCCTGACAATCACTACCTTCCTCTGCTTTCAGGGATTAATATGCTGGTTACCATAGCTGCAACTACTGTATTTTAACCCATTGATCAAGGGGTTAGTACTAAAACCTAGCATGTGCCCAGGGCTTATTAGCAATGGATTTCAAGACACTTACTGTGAAAGATTTCTCGCTGGATGCAGAACTAGGCCTCTCAGATTCAGGGTGTGGTGAATGAGATGCTGGTCTTTTACTAGCTTCTTCCTCTTCTGTGTCCTCCTCATCAAAATTCAGACTGTCTGAAATTCCTGTCAAAATACAAGATCAAGTGTGTAATCTCTGAAAGAAGGTGTCATGAGTTCATGGCACCACTAATTCATATATGACTCTTGAATAGCTATTCACTCTTTTAATTAATTTCTGTTGTTTTCAACTGTTGATATTCTTCATGTGCTATATTGCTTCCTGAGCCTTGTAATTCAAATCCATAGTGACATTTTGCAGCTGTCACTGTGCAGATGATTGAGCAGCTGTTTAATAATACATATTTCACACGATATTACATGATGTAACATATTGCTTTAGTACATGTTGTCATTGAATTGATTTTGCCTATTTTCATGCAAAGAAGTCCTCCATGTCTTAAGAACAATAAAAAAAAATAAATCCAGATCAATATGCTGACACCTATCCTTTAAATTAGACTCTGTCCAGTGTACATCCTTTATTATTTCCCCTTAGTCTTATACACACTGAAATGGAGTATATTAATTTTTCAGTAACAGCCCCTCCTGTTCTTACATCAGTACCAATATAACTCAGGTCTCATGAACAATATTAACAAATTGATTTTTAAAATAGAAGCACAAACTAAGTAGTTCCGGACTTATTAATTAAATCTTAACCTAAGCACAGTTACATAGAGTTGACTGTAGGTATATAACTAAAATAACTCTGGATTTATTACAGCATTTACAAAGAGCTTCTGTACATATCACTGGTGTTTCCTTCCACTTGGAACTGCACCATTTTGTTCTTTTATTCCATTATTTAATTTGGCTGTAGAATGGAAAAGCACATAAAGCATTATAGAAAATGAACACAGTCAGTCTGCTAAGCTGAATTATTTTTTGACAGACAATGTTATAACAGTGCTCCAACACGGCACTGCATAGAAGGGGCACTGCTGGAAGTCTCAGATAAAACAGAAAAATCTAGTCTTAACAACCTGTCAGTAAACTTCCCAAAGGACGTTTGGGAAGAGGAAAGGCGTTAACCCTAGTACTCCAGCCAATTTCAAAATTCACTGTTTATATTCTACCTCCACTAGTTTCCCCTGAAGTTACTGGATATTCTCTTCTGCTTCCTTTCCTAACTCTTGTGTAATGTTGCTATCCATAGGTAAGCAGCTGTGGCATCTGACAACTGGATGGGAGTACTATATACGGTAGTATCTCAATACATAAAGTGTATTGGAAACGTTCTGAGAGACAAGCTCTGCAAAACAAAAACAAGCTGTGTACTATATTAAATGCTAGCCAATATTTTGCTGTAAAGTGGTTAGGCTGCATACAACAAAAAAAGGCTTCCTGTAGTATTGGCAGCAACTTAAGATACTTGGCAGACAGAGCTTGACACTCCACTAGGAAACTACTCAATGGGATATAACCATTGAATATAAAACTCTAAAACCCTTGATTGTGACAACCTCTGACTCAGAAAAAACACTTTTTCTGTTAGTGTCCAAAAGAATTAAATTACAGCATTTACTGGCTATAGACAGTTCTGCTGTTGTGAAAGTATTCAAGCATCTTACCCAGATATAACATATCTGGAATAAAAATACCCCAAATTTTAGCAAAATCTAAAGTATAGTGTTTTGTCAGCAACTTCCTTGGAAAGGCCAGAAATTATACAGCACACTGATAAACCCTTAAACATAAATGGTATATTCCAATTCATGTCACAAGAAGGAACTACAGTACTGCATTTCCACATGTAGAATCTACTAGCTGTGCATTTAAAAGTGATATCCTATGGACACTTACTTCATGATTCCTCATACTTTTTAGGTTTCTTAATGGTACTGAAAAACATTATAAAAGTAAAAGAGTCCCAAAAAGACATTTGCCCATTATTAACTCTTACCTCGTTTCTGTAAGATTTCTTGCAGATCTGGCTTGCCTGCTATGTCTGTTAGAGCCTCTCCATCATTTTCCTTATCTGCATTTTCTTCTGTTCCAGTAGATCCAGCAGAGAGAGCTTGAAGCTTGGTCTCCAAATCTTGCACTTCTGATTTCAGGAAAGCAGCTGGTCCATCAATGCCTGCAGGCCAAAATGAAACAGAAATATAAAATTTATTTTTTACAGCTAAGGATGCATCCCAGGATCGTGGTTCTTTTCACCTTCCCCTGCTCAAACATCCGTTTAAAGTACTGAAGTGTATTTGTTCAATTTTTGTCAGAAGACTTGGGAGGAGTCAGGCCTGACTCTGGTACAGACTGCCTATTTCTTTAAACACACCAAGCATCAGTTTCTCCCTATATAAATAGAGTGGTTGTATCTACCTTTTTCCAAGGGCTAAAACAATTAAGTTGTATTTATCATGCACATTGCCACCCCTCAATTTATTTACAGGCAACTACTCTATTTTCTTTTCCTTCACATTCTTTGTTTGCTCCTGTGCCAGTAAGCAAGGGCTCCACAGTGAACATCACAAATCAATTTGATAAAAATATTTACAGCCACAGGCAGAAAAAACTGTAAATGGATGCCCCCTATCTTTTTGTTAGAAATGAAATTTCCATGTTTGAACATGCAACAGAGCAGTGCACCACACTTTGTAACTGGTGGAGACATCTTGATGGCAGGATCTGGCATAATACTTAATATGCATTTGTGTAGCACACAATATGTAAGTTCCAGCTTTGGATTTCTTACTTTCCTACTGTTTTCCTTCTTAAAACTTTACTGCTTTATCTAGTCATCATATTTCTGACATGTTTACTCCTGTTATCTCTTCTTAACAGTATTTGTTTGCACTGAAGAAGTCTCAGAACTACCGAAGCTAGTAAGTGAGCAGTTAGTTTTCATTTCAGTATTACCGAACACTCCTACCTTAGAAGTTATATAAATCTTTTCCCTCACTCTCTTTTTGACTTGAAAGCATCCTTTAATACAAGCTTTCTTATACTTGATTTTAAACACATAAATGCTACTATCCACATCACCACTTTCCTCCCCATCCTATGATTCTGAAAAATATTCAAGAGAGAGAGGACAGCATAGTTCCAAATGTGATCTTCAAAGCCAGTAATACTGGTTTGTTTGGATCTTTAAAATTCTACTCTGCATATTAATTTGTTATTACTATAATGCTTGCATTATAAAATCCTGCAATAGCATGCATCTCAAAGACTTAGAATGTTTCCTGTTACTTTTTTGATAGGCTGATGTGATCCTGGCTCTCATAAACAATTTCCTGACACTTCCACTGAAGTGTAAGGATTTCACTGCTGCTCTTTTTTCCTCCCTGTGACAAGGGAGTCTTAAGGCTCTCAATACTGTATTTCTTTCTACTTCTAAAAGAATGGTCATTATTTTAATGTAATTTTTTACTGTTTTGAGACCACCAAGTTATTGCCTTTGGCCCTGATACCACTTTGTGCTTTTGACTTTGTGGACCACTATAGCTTGTTTGTCATGTTTCAGTTGTCTCACTGAAGCCCACAGAAAACCCATTAAGAACCTAATTCAGTATTTATAACACTTTTTTTTTGCTTTTCTCTATCATTCAGTCATATGCAATCTTGAGACGGAGTATGCCATGACAACATAAGGAAAAGTACAAGCAGTCACTATTGAATTATTTTCTTTTCTTTGTCCTACAGCTTCAGAAGATTTTTTCTTAATTTGGATTTGTATCTCCCTACCTTTGTAGACATTCCTAGCTCATTTCTACAGTTCTTCTAGCCTAACACAAGGGAGAGATTACTCAAGGGCACACGAAGATTTCCAGCTGTCAGAAAAATTCAAGGTGAGATTTTTGTTTGCTTTTGCAGTTTAGTCTTGCTTAACCATACTGTACTAGAATTCTACTTCTGTACATAGAAAGTTATGTAATTAATCTTGTTTATTACTTGGCCACTGCCACAGCAACATAGGTGCCCATGTGCGACATATAATGCCTGTACTGGCACTCTGGGGAACATTGTTGCAATCAGGTTGATTACTCACCATGTAAAACAACATCACTGTGGACAAGGGTACGAGTTTCTACTAAAGGAGTCTGCTCCTCACACCCTTTGGGCTTTGATCTGCGCGGCTTTGCCTCAGGATTTGGCTGTACCATCAATGGATCAAGACGTTTCTTCCTCTGCTTCTTCTCTAGAAGAGCTCTCTGTGGATTGAAGAAAAGCATGGAAGAGATGAGTAAACACATCTAGAGAGGCAGAATACATGCCTCAGCCCTTGGCAATAACATGCCAAGACATTCTGACTGACCAGAATCTCAAATAAACCTGAAATATTCTTGTAATCTTTTACAAAAATCCTAGACACAGGTATCATTGTGTCTTTGGAGTGAGATATTGCCTGTGATTCTCCATGAGAAGTTGATGGGTGACACGGACACCTGTGTATTTTTGATCTATCCTGAGACCACCAGCAGATAATGTGAAATCCTTTCATCCACTCTAAAATGCAGCAATCCTTAATACAAATAGACAAATTCAGCAGTCATTTGTAGTCCAATATGAAACAGTCAGCACTTGCAAAGGAAAAGGTTTTTGTCTCAAAAGTTATCATCTTACAGGGAGAACTTAAATAGTTCCCAGAAACCAATGTTGAGAGATAAGACTTAGAGTGGGCAAACAAATAAACAACAGCAATTAAAATAGGAATGATCCACTAAAAGGAAAATTTATCTACCTTGCTAAACTTTTTCATGTAATTCAGGACTGAAAGCAAAGAGTGGAAAATCCACATGTTAAAAAAAATTCCAAGATACACATACATTTGATACTTATAATTTCCTACTAAACAAGAACAGAAACAACTTCTAGACTTAAATCAAGGCAAATGGGGACACTGTACCATTTTAAAGACAGACATGCCTAATCCTTAAAACATAAGGCAATGCATGAAGAATGAAAAATCATATTTTAATATTCTGCACCATTAGGCAAATAATATGCAAGCTCCTTACTGTAGATGCAGTTTATTCACAGCTGCCTCTTCTGTACCTGAGCACCTCTGGAAGTTGTTTTTGATGACAGAAACCATTTCTCCATCAAATTATTTGGAGTCTTGATGGACCCATCAGATAAACAGTACCAACAATTCAATCCACTTGAGACACAGACATCTTTGGAGCCCTTTCCTCTCCCATTATTTTTTTCTCTTGTTAGTTCTTCCCTCTCCTATTAGGCTTTTTATCTCAAGTGAGATCAGTTTCTCAGGCAACCTCTCCCTGAGGAATTCCAACATAACTCAGCCCTTGGTTCTTTATTCTTTCTGCTTTTTTCACTTATCTGAAAAAAAACCCAAAAACCACCACCCCCAAAAAAACAAATTTTAAAAAAAACCAGAAAACAAACAACACCCAGAACCCAAACAAAACCAAACATACAAAACCCCAAACAAACAAACAAAAAACCCAACAAAAAAAGAATTACATAGAATTCCAAAGAGATTATTACATTGGTCTAGAATAAATGAAGAAAAATAAGCAGTAAAATCAATTTCTTAGAAACTGCTAATTGTGGATATGTTCTCTAGAAAGGCAGTCAAACCTTCCAGAAGAATTTACATTGGCTAGTGTTGTTTATTTTTTAAATTAATGCTGAGGAAAAGTAAAAAATGTCATGATGGTTTATAAATCTCTAAAGGAGAGAGGAAAAACAAGAATCAGAACATTATACTCAGAATAAGGATTTGAGAATTGTTGTCGAGACTTCTCCAACTGACAAGTAGACAGGCACGAAAAAAAACAACAAAACAGACACACCCTAAAGGCAGTAAGAAAATAAGAAAATGCACAGCTACTGCTAGAATGCAAAATTGAATTCGGGATCAACATAGAATATAATAACTTTAAGACTTACTTAATGGATTATTCTATTACATAAGCTTTTTTAAACATGTCACTGCAAACCAGTCTAAACTTATTATTATTATTGTTATTATTATTATTATTATTATTATTATTATACATTGTGTTTCATCACAGAATTTCTAGGACTTACCAATCCAACGGCATCAGTTTATATTAAAACATAGTTTACTGCTGGTAGATGTGACCAACCTTCTTCTTGCAAGAATTTCAGAATAATCAAAGTGACAAAATTCGATAGTAATTTAATTTATTTTTAAAGGGCTTCTCTCTAATACTTTGCTTACTGAGAAGGAAAAAACATCTGCAAGTCCACTGACAGGACAGTAAATAGTAGTTCATTTTCTCTCCATACGGTGGCAGCCTGCTCTTCAGTACCATGTATTCCCGGCCTTATTCCACTACAGAAGCAGAAAAAAGGAAACTGTATTTTGTTTCGTTTGCCTACTAAGTAGCCTTTTCCTCCAGCTCTGTGTTACAGCAAAAATTCGTATAATATTACAACATAAAATTTAGATAGTTCATTAAATGGACACCAAAACACATAATCCATTAATTAAGTAACAGATACAGATTATGATGATTTGTTCAGCATTTTATGAACTCCATGCATCAAATACTTTCAGAAATGTTTTCTTTGCACCGCAAAAAACAGTAACATCAGAATATAGGACAATTAAAAGATCACAAACCACCAACTCCTAGTGAGTTTCCAACAAGTCAAGAAGTCAGATGAATATATCCTAGCAGACTAGTAAAACAACTAGTTTAGTATTCTGTCTACAATTGTGATGATGGGAAGATGGTATACAGGAAGGTTCCAACTACACCATCAAAGGTGCAATTATTTGGCATAGTCCTAACCTTAGCAGGCCATAGAGGATGGATCCTAGCTCGGAAACATCCTCTCCACTCTTCTAGCTCCTCCTTAGCTCATGCTGGGGCAGCAGTGGCAATGCTAGTGATGGTGGCATTAATGAAACTTCATGTCAAGAGTAATGCACCACACCAGGTGCATTCGGAAACACATCAGGCTCCATGCTCTCCAGGCACAGGGAGATGGCAGCATTGCACTTGGAGCTGCAGGCACCTTATGTGCTCAGGCACATGAAAACCTTCTACTAATGAGGGACTAAGCACTGACTGAGCAACCACATGCTCTTGCCTCAAGTCCAGGAGAAAAAAGCATCCAGGCAGGCAGAGTTGGCCCACAGATGGAACTTGATGTCATGCACTATTATAAATAATATTTTACTGCAATTACAGGGTTTCAAAACCCATTATAAAAATGGATGACAGGCATATGTCTGTGCTGTGGCAAATGCTTATTCCAGATTCTCTGTCTGACCAAAGATTTTATACATGGCTGGATTAAAACATCTTGCATTTATTTTATCCCAATTCCTATACATGTTTATGACAAATTAATCAAGCAGGGCATCAGCTACAACCAGCAATGAGTCCCTCATATCTGGTAGTGACTTCTGCTTCTTCAGAGGGCATAGTACTATTCATGTACAAGTCGACTTTAAAAGTAATATTCAATTCCAATTATATAATCACAAATTAGAGAGTGTTAGCATTTCTCAACAGGTCTCATTTGCAAGGGGCAGGGGGGTTGTTAAAAACTATTTCAGAGATATTGTCTAACTGTTGGTTTTGCAGATGATTGCAATCTCAACCAAATCCAAGAAAGATGGAAACAAAATTGCAAAAGAGAATGCATAATTGAAACTGAACTCTTCATGATTTTAATTAACAGCTGCTCTGAGGGAATTCCACCCAGCTCAGCAGCTTTATTTTGGTGGAACAGCCATGCATCCCCATGGCAAGGTCTGACACTAAGCATACATTGATCACAGTGCCTAGCACTAGAAGTGATTACTACCAGCTTATGACCCAAGACCGCAGTCCTAAAATAGATACTGAGGTTCATCACCAAGCATTCAGACCTTCCTTAGTTTTGGAACATCTTACCAAGTGCCATTTGTCACTAAATGCTCCTTTACTGATTACTTGAAATAATGCTTTCTATTTTTTAATTAGTTGTTTTTAAACAAGTGTTACTTGATAGTCTACATGTAAAGGACTATCCTAGCTTCCACAAATATGACCAAAGATAAATTTTACTCCTTGACTGAAGTGTTTTAGGTAAGAGCCTATAAAAACACAGATAAAGTTGGTGATAAATTCACTGTCTGAAGTCAAAGCTAAGCAAACTCAGACTACAAATAATGAATAGGTTCTGGTAAAGAGGATTATTATCCATTGCAACAGTTCCCTGAAGACTGTTGTGTCTGGATTTAAAGATCCTCAGCTGAGAAAAGGCCTTTCTAAAAACCATACTTTAATTTGAACAAGATGAATTTAATGTAAGACAGTGATTTGTGGCCCATATGAAATGGCCAGCTAGAGAGTCTTCGAATCTATTTATAAGCATTTGAAATTTCACAGAGAAAGAATATTAAGGATGGATACTTTATTGCTTTGAAGAACGTGGTGATGTAAGCATCCAGCAAACAGCACTTCAAAAACTGAGACCTATAACCTAACATCTGACCCATGCTTGGCTGTAAATATTTTCTCTGTAGGAAACAAAAAAAGGTCAAAAGGTGCTGGAAATCTTTCTCAACAGCAGTGTTAAGGAGATCTTTCTGTAGGTCGAGAAAACTTTTTCTTTTGCTCTGATGCTTAAAATCAATAATTTCCTGCAGTCTCCCTATCTTTTGATTGATTCCTGCATTCTGGTGACTCAATCCCAATGAAATGAGAGGACATATGAAAAATAAATGTATCAAATACATCAAATCTACAAGCCATGGCAAGGTTGACTTAAACTAACAAAAACCATGAAAATCTTTAACGAAAAATATTAGCAAGTTGGTCTTTAGACCAACCATTTTTACCACTTCATCCCCATTTCTCAAGTATCTAGATGGCTGTTTGTTTTCCTATACTTATTTTTAACAGCTTCAGTACTATCATTTACCTGATTCTGTAGTTTCAGCTGTCGTAGTTTCATGCTTTCATCCTCAAAGATGCTGGGAAAGGGAAAGAAACAAATTCATTAAACAGTGCTATTAAACAGTTTCCATTACAAGAGCACAAGATATTCTCAGACTGCAACTTTGCCATCAAGACTTAAAAACAACTGTTAGACATTACTTCTATCCCACTAAAAGACCAAGATACAAGGAATTAAAAATAAAACATACTTTGTATTCTGTCAGAAATAGGACAAAAACTGTAGTTGAATTCCCTGAGTAAACTGCTCTGAGAACATTTTGTAAGCACTAAAGGCTTCATTATTGGTAGATGGATTATGACCCACTATTGAGGTGGGGCTATGAGACAATTTATACCTGAAGGCTTAACACAGTTCAAACTGATTCAGTAGAGTCTCTGCTCCTTCATAAGATACCCAATTCTAAATTAACTCAGTTCTCTCTTGGAGTTAAACCTATATAATTTTCTCTTCCTATTAGACTTTCCAGAACTACTGCTCATACCTGAGAGAATCTGTATTTGCAACATCTGATATTAATTCTTAGAGATAAAATATAATTATTTCACTATTTTGTTGTTTTATAGATAACTTTCATAAGAACTCTAGCTTTTCATTGTAAGTTGTGTTCCATACAGACTTCCCATTTCCTTTTGTATGATAATGGATTATTACATAAAGTGCAATTTAGAGCAGCTAACCCTACAAAGGGGAAATGTTAATTGACAATTAAGCACATATTCTGCCTATCACAGTTGTGCACTTTCCTCCAACACAGCTTTGACAAAGATCTCTCTGGAAGTGAGAAAGCATCAGGAAGAAGATACTTGATGTGGGAAATGGACAAATGTTACATATTTTATTAATAGCACATAGAAAAGCAGGGCAAGCCAAAATTTCAGTTTAAACAGGAAATTCTGTCTGGTTTAGGTATCCATAAATGTCCAATGATCTGAAGTCACAAGCTGGCAGACAGCGCTGAACATAACCCTAACAAGGAAAACCAGAGAGACAGCAAGAGACAGGGAGAGAGGAGGGGTGGGGTTTCTGCAAAACACATGGAAATTGGATTACAGCACACAGAGCTAAAGAGTCTGAGGCTAAAGGCCTGAGTCCCCCTAACCTGTAGTAAATCCACATTTGTCTCAGCTTCCAGGCAAGCAGATGACAGATCAGAGGTCCTTAGAGACAGCCTATCCTGGCCAACACAGGCCCTGCTCTGGAAGGTGGAATTATGCAGAGAAAGAGTTCTATATACACATCATATATAACAACTTATATGATCTAAAATTTATGCTAATTCTTGAACTAATAGTATTTTAAAGCAAGCTACAACTGCCATTTTTTTATACACTTTGCAGTTTTCCTCGTTTCTAAACTTTTTTTTTTCTAATGTATTTGAACTATCATCACACAACAGGTCTAGGACCTTGAAAATATCTTGTTTCTGAAAACTGATGTTACTCCTTACTTGGATCTGCAATACATAGTATCTTGGATTCAAAGGCAATGGGGGGCCTGGAAAAATTAGTGTCTTTCTTGAAGAGGAATGGAGAGCTATTGCACATCCCCAAAACAGCAGTTACAGTAATACAGTTGTCTTCCCTTGAAAACAGCCACAACTTAAGAAAGAAACAAGCAGAAGCTACTGAGTGCAGCAAGATATACAATAGTTATTGCATGACACTTCAGCATATTTATTATTTATAGCACAGGTGATGGAAAAGGCCATCTTTAGCAAAGTTTGAAAAATGCCTGAAAGCTCCACTTAAGATGTTCATGACAAAAAAAAAAAAAAAAACAGAGAGGGAATATTCCTTTTCTTGTCATACACCTACTGATTTAAGAAATAGATATTTGTTAACTGCAGTCAAGTTTGTTATAAACCAATCTGTGCATCTCTGATCAACAGTAGGTTTACAGACATATTCTTATGGACACAAAAGTTTCCTGTGTAGATACAAGCTACTGCTTGTGGTTTTGTTGTTTTTCCTAATAGAAAATGCATCCCCAAACAATTTGAGCCTATTCTTCAGAAAATAATAAAAAAAAATACAAACACTACCATTTTAGGAAATAGGTTTCCAGGTTTTCCTTTTTACCTGAAAGTTGACAAAGTGCTGAAACATTGGGACTCACATACACATCTTGTGGAAATCCTCAGTAAAAATTATTTACTTCATATGCTAAATTATTTTCTACTCACACTGGAACAAAGTTACATAATGTAACAGGAGCATAACGAACACAACGCAGTGCTTCACCTGTGGCCACTTAACTGACGTTCAAACATGGCTGAAATACAAAGTTTCTAACAGGTCACAGAGCTTGACAGAGCAAAAAAGATTACAAGAGTATTCTCTCTTACAATTCAAAATTGCCTCATAGCAGGCCACAAAAGGAAGGCAGCCATCAATCCATCCTTCCCATTTTAAAATGCAAGGATTCACACAAGGATCAAAATAAAAAGAAACAAAGCAACGAGCACTGTGGCTCTATAAACAGTTGCTGAAAAAACACAGCAATCTTACAATATTTTTATTTACTCCTCCTTTAACCTTTCCTCCAGCACTCGGTCATCATGAAAGTGTAACATAATAACCAGACAAAAAAAGAGCTTCCCACACTTCAAACCTTTTCCTACCCATCACGGCACAGTTGGTAGTATTACAAACTTAAACAGGAAAAGGCTGTTCTAGAGTCACTCCTGCAACTCACTGCTAAGGAATGCAAGTAGTGTGCTAATCCAGCTGCAGGCTTCAAACAGGAATCCTACTTCTACTGGGCTGACAACACAGATCAGTGTGTTTGGACATGCCCACACAAAATCATTGCGCTCTTTGCTTTTCTGTTTGAAGGGTTTACATGCAAGAAGACTTAAATATCCAGCAGGAACAGGAAGAATTAGCAGCAATTCCATAGCTACAACAACACAGTTCAAAAAATGAAAAAAACCCACAGCCATCAGACCAGTCAAACCACCAAACAAGTAAACTTGTCAAATTTACTTTTGACAAATAAGAACTGAAAATATTCAAGTAGCCTGTCACGATATTTCTCTTCCCAAGCACTGCAGTACAGCAGACTACAAGAGACTCTGCCCCCCAGTTCCTCTGCTGTGTTTATCAGAATCCACCAACAATCCTGCTAAAGCTGTGGACACATGCCAGAGAAAGGAAAAATGACTCAGAATGTAACATACAAGGAAAGACTAATGATAATCCAAGATACAGAATAAAAATGAGAGTGGGAAAGCAATTATTTAACAAAAACACTCAACTGAGAAGATACAACAGCATGTCTGGATGTGGGAGAAGACATCAAGATATAAAGGGGTTCACAGATCCATTTCCAGATTTGACACAGACCAACACGGAGCAAAGTTTTATTTTTAATTGCTAGCAACTCAAATTCCTACTGAAATCAGAATCAGTCTGGTTTCCATTTCGTAAACTGAAATTAAAGTGTTGCAATGGGAATACAAAACAAATTTTATTATAAAAATGTTAATTTGGTCTTTCCTAACCATTTTCAGAATATCAAACAACGACAATGAATAGGTAACTCATCAATTATTTAACAGATATTCATATATGCAATTAAGGTTTCCTTTTTATGTAGTTTATTTTCCTTTCTGTAAAAAAGGCACACTACATCTACTGACACTTCTTTCAGAATGGACATACTGTTTTTCAATAACACTACAATTTTGGCATTACAAACTGTGAAAAGGCAGAATTTACACTCTTGTTTTCATTGCAACTTTTCTGTGTGTCTGAATATGTTATACTTAAAAAAAAACCAAAATAGTTATGTTCTAAACACTTGGCAATAATTACCATTGAATCAGCCAAATACAAACTCACGGTATAATGCAACTCTAAGAACAACAAAAAATCCTGATATCGAAGCAGGGTAGAAATGCAGAAAACAGGGCAAGAAAGCAATCCATCAGCCTGAAAATGGTCTTCCATTCTGTCCAAGGTCCACACAAGAAAAAGGATTCTGAAGAACTGAAGAGGGTTCAGCAGAAAGCTGAGCAAATTGACCAAGGATTGGTTTATTCAAAAGAAAAATCAACATGCTCCACTGTATTCCATGGATTTGAGGCCACAAATGACTATTGACGAGAGAGAAGACAATAAAATCCAGCCATACATAATTGAAGCTAAACAAATTCAGACTGCAAATAATTTTTTTTTTATTTAATACTGTGACCATAGAGAGAACTCATGGAGCTGTGGATTTTCAACAGAAAACAAGGGGTTTTAATCAAGGTTGAATATTATTATGTTGAAAAAAAATTGCTGTCATAGAGTAAGGCTACGGTTTACCTCAGATTTCAGATGTGGTTGTCCCACAGAATGGGAGAGCTAAGCATTCTTCTTTTAATTTATATCAATTATGTCTCCTTTATATACTTACTGTTAAAGCTATAAGGAATCAAAAAAATAAAGGCTATCTCTATCATGGACTAGTTTTGCAAGGAATTGACTGGTTGCAGCTGTGAATGAGAGGCAAGAAGCAAAGAAAGTAAGAAAAGCCACAGGAAAGAAGAATTTGTAGAGAGAAAATGAGTGAGAACTCACTGGAAAGACAAATTTGAAAGATGTTAAACAAAGGAAAACACCATCATGAAAGTTCTTCCTGCATTCAACAAAATGTATGTTCCTCATATGTCCACTAAGAAATACTATACTCAGTTTTCCCTCCTAAACAAGCAATGCAACAAGGCCATGCAGATTTAAAAGTTTCCCCCATGGCTAAATCTATTCTGCAAATGTTTTATAAATAAAAAGTAAGAGTTTCAGCCTCTTAAAAGAGGAAGGTCAGATAAGCTGACTGAAACAGACTCCACCCCGACCTTAAAAGAAAATCTGACCCAAGAGAAGCAAAAATAGCTTGGTTTGCTTTTTAATTGTTCTAAGCATCTTTAGAGCCTATATTAGCACTGTACATGCACTGAACTCTTGGTGAGAGAAATTCAGGAATTATTACCTATTTTGCACAGCTCTAGGGAAGGTATTACAGCTTCAG